ACATTATAACTTATCAAGTGATCATTGATATCACAAGTGCCTGCTTAAGCCATGATACAGGGCACCTTAAGAAACTCTATGAGCTAGTTGAATATTATTTAATTAAAAATATGGTGGCATGAATCCTCATCTCCTCTCTTAAGAATATTTCTCCCCTTCTCTCATGCCATAGTTCTTGTACAAATTCACTCAAGTTTAAAACCATCAAATTATCATTCAATGGTTCCCCATCTGCATCATTTAGGATCAGAGAAATGTTCCTACATTACAGCTACAAGTCTGATGAGGATTCATTGAAGATCATTTGAAAGGGTAAGGAAATAAACCATAATTAGAGTTTCTCGTGTACATCATAACCTTTCTAACCCCCTCCAATATTTTCAGTTTATCTCTATTATTTATGGTAAGAATCACATAACTTGATTTTATCTATTCATAAATTTATCATGTCATGAATTTTTTGACACTAGATGAAAATATGACACTAAATAAAACGCAATGGAGAAAAAGGATTTATGTAGCCGACCCCACATAGTGATTAAGGCTTTAGGCTTTGTTGTTGTATAAATTTATCATTTTTAACTTTGTTTCAGCACTATAGGGGATTCAAACAAATTACTCTCCTAAACACTCCACAAGATGACAATTCAAGTCTATCATCCGCCCTACAAGAGCCACATTTTCCCTCCTGAAATCCGAAGCTGCCCCGTAATTTTCATTTCTAAGATTCTCTTCGTTCAAAAACTAGTTCTGACCTTTTCAAATACTCTCAACCTACCTAATCCCCTTCTAAAAATGCCTAATGTTATCATGTAATTGAAAAACCTCCTCTCCCCACGCCAATTCCTCAGCATAACCACCTCCACACATGCACTTTCTCATATTAATTCTCAAGTATAATCGCGAAATATGATTTGGTCCTCTTACAATAGGTTCATATTAATATATTATGTTAATGATCAACATCACAAGTCAAATTCATGTATGCCATAAGGATAATAATTGCTACTCTAAAATTATGCTTCAAAATTAATGATGCACATATCCCTACCATGATCCTCTTAGTAAGTATCGCTATTATAAAAGCTATCATAAATCTGTCTCCTCCCTTGACATTTATTATCCCCATCTTTCTAAAAATTAAGCTAACAAATCATATGATTTATATCATTATGATCATGCATACTCTTAAAATTGATATAGTGGTCATGATAAAATGTATTATGAAAATCATGCGTACTCTTATCATCTATATAATAATCATATCAAACCAAATCGCTTTGATCAATCTCCTCCAATCCCCCTATATCTCATCAAGAGATTAATAAACATCAAACTAAACATAAATCAATAAACTCAAAGCAATTAGCATGTATGCTTGATTGTTACATTTCAAAACAATCACCTCAATTATCCTCAAATAACCAAGCTATTGAAGATATTGATCAATTACATGTCGTCCAGCATGAGTATGATGATGTAATAATGTTGTACTTGGGGCAAAAGCCAAAAACTTCAATAAAGCATCTTTGAAATCCACTTGCTCTTAGAAGTAGAATGATGGAAGATATAATCCATGACACGCCCACGTATGTCGACAATTTGGCAATTCAGAAGATTTGATAGTTCCCAAATTCGATGCTTAATCTTGAGTCAAAGTTCAACACAATGTCATAAAGATTTTTTATTGTTCCCAAGCTTCATATTGTTGTCGCACTCCATCATAAATTGATTTTTATTGTCATTATTGTCACCGCCAGATATTCACATTGATTATAAGTGATCACACTTAACGGCATAACGTATAAATAACCAAATTCTCCCCTATATGTCAACTTTGGTTATACAAGCCACTCCCAATAATCCTACCCAATTGCTTGCTTCTATAATTTTATAATTTTACCTCAAATTTCCATCATTATTCTTATTGTCATTTGAGCTCCACCTACACATTATGGCAGCACACACCATACACAATATAAAGCATATCTTAAATCGCATGGTTTCATAAGGATCACTACTATTAAACAAAATAACATATTAGGACAAGACTTGGCATAAACAACCACACCATGATTGAAAGGGGAAATGTTTTCCCATACTCTCCTGCCATAGTTTGTGTACAAGTTCACTCAAGTTTAGAACCATCAGATTATCATTCAACTGTGCCCCATCTGCATCATTTAAGGTTAGAGAAATATTCCAGCATTACAACTACAAGTTTGATGAGGATTCATTGAAGATCATTTAAAATGGGAAGGAAATAAATCCTAATTAGAATTTCTCATGTACATCATAAACTTCTAACCCCCTTCAATATTTTCAGTTTATATCTATCATTTATTGTAAAAATCGCATAAACTTGATTTTATTTGTTCAAAAATTTATAATTTATACCTTTGTTTCAACACTCTAGTGGATTCAAACAAATTACTCTCTTGAACGCTCTGCAAGATTACAATTTAAGTCTATCATCTGCCCTACGAGAGCCACATTTTCCCTCCCAAAATCCCAAACTGCCCCCTAAATTTCATTTCTAAGATTCTCTTCATTTAAAAACTAGTCCTGACTTTTTCAAATACTCTACCTACCTAATCCCCTTCTAAAAAAGCCCAATTTTATCATGTAATTGAAAAACCTCCTCTCCCCACACAATTCCTCAACATAACCCACCTCCACAAATACACTTTCTCACATTAATTCTCAAGTATAATCGTCAACTATGATTTGGTCCTCTTACCAAAGGTCCGCATTAATATATTATGTTAATGATCAACATAACAAGTCAATTCATGTCCGACATAATGATATTAATTCCTACTCGAATATTATGCCTCAAAATTCAAGATACACATATTCCTACCATCATCCTCTGAGTAAATATTGTTATTGTAAAAGCTATCATAAATTTGTCTCATCCCTTGACATTTATGACCCCTATCATTCTAAAAATTAGGCAAACAAATAATATGATTTATATCAATATGATCATGCATACTCTCACAATTGATATAGTAGTCATGATAAAATGTATCATGAAAAGCATGCATAATCTCATCATCTATATAATAATCATCTCAAACCAAATTGTATTGATCAATCTCCTCCAATCCTCCTATATCTCATCAAGTGATTAATAAACACCAAATTAAACATAAATCAATAAATTCAAAGCACTGGCATGTATGCTTGATAGTTACATTTCAAAACAATCACCCCAATTATCCTCAAATAACCAAGCTATTGAAAATACTGATCAATTAATGTGATCCAGCATGAGTATGATGAAGTAATAATGTTGTGCTTGGGGCTAAAGCCAAAAACTTCAATAAAGCATCTTTGAAATCCACTTGCTCTTAGAAGTAGATTCACGGAAGATATAATCCATGACAAGCCCATGTATGATTATAATTTGGTAAATCAAAAGATTTGGTAGTTGTCAAACTCTATGCTTAATCATGAGTCAAACTCCAAACCAATGTCATAAAAATTGTTGATTGTTCCCAAACTTCATAAATTGTTGCCCCACTCCATCATAAATTGATTTTGATTGTCATTATTGTCACCGCCAGATGTTCACATTAACTACAAGAGATCACAGTTAATAGCATAACGTATAAAACATCCAAATTCTCCCCTATATGTCAAGTTTGGTTACACAAGACATTGCCAATAATCCTACCCAATTGCTTGCTTTTATAATTTTATGATTTTACCTCAAATTTCCATCATTGTTCTTGTTCTCATTTGAGCTCCACCTACACTACTAACATTATGGTAGCACACACGCCATACATTATATAGAGCATATCTTAAATCGCATGGTTTCACAAGGATAACTACTATTAAACAAATAACACATTCGGGCAAATCTTGGCGTAGACCACCACACCATGATTGAAAGGGGATATGTTTAAAAGAAGCTCATCTCCAATTTTTTTAGGACAGAACTCCCAAAAAACTAAATTAGGAAGTGACAAATCAACCATTAATTAGGTTATTTGGCCCTTGCCGCTACTTGGCTTTCAATTATCCAAAATCCAACTATTGCCATTTTATCAATCACCTGAACTTCCAATAATATTTTCAATTCTTTTATTTCAAACAATAACCCTCCCCACTCCCCGCTCCCCGCCACAAATGTTATTTTCGTGACCAAAAAATGGGCATCATCTATGAAACATACTATATATTATCAAATTTGATTGCAACATTGACTAAAATTATAGAATAATGATTTAAATTTCTACCTTTTGAGCATATCTAAACCCAATGGAACTCGAATTAACGTTATCTTTTATTGAACAATTATTATTCTTAGAATATTAATTTTAGTGTATTATAATCTATTCTCCCTGAATAAACTTAAAGAAACAAACTAAAATTTAACTTTCCCCTCAAATTGTTTAAGTAAAATTGTAATATCATAGTATTCTAGAAATACTTGAAGTAACAATTGATAAAACAACAATGAATTGAAAATATAGGATATAACATCAAATTAAATTATTTTATTAATATTGGCATAGAAATATAAGTGTTACACAACACTAGATTGGATGCAAATTAACATGAAATACAAATTAAAAGTGGAACTCCTTTCAAAAAAAAAATAATTGCAGCGAAGGAGGATTGTTTGGGAGAGTTCCTAAACTCTAAATCCTGAACTTCTTAGCATATGGTGGACGCTCGTGAATGATGCAAGAGAATATCCTCATGCATCAAACAATAACATTGCATATTTCTGAACCGGAAGTGAATAGAGCCCTAGAAAAAATTGTATCCAACCATAGATCATCCAAAAGTTTACCGGTAAAGTCAAATATTAAAAAATAAATAAAATCAAAATTGTGACTGGCGATTATTTTCATGATGGAAATCACATACGTTCAAAACAAAAAATAAAATGCGAAGTCTGCGATTCACCAAACAAGAGAGTCAAAATTGGAAAAATTCACAAATGAAATCACTTGAAAACAAATCATAAAACCATTCAATACCAGCAGAGGAGAGGTCACGCGCTTCTCAACCGCCAACACAACCCCCCCTTTGGTCTTTATCCCGATCGCTGTCGAACCAAGCTGCAAGATCACATGCATCAAAGCTTTACAGCCCAAGAGGCTTCAATCCCTATTTATCTCATCGCTAAAAAACTTAAAATCTCCTACCTTTATAGCCTCAATGGCATATTCAACCTGAAACAGCCTACCTTCGGGGGAGAAGGTGTTGACACCTCTATCATACTCGGTCCTTCGAGCCACCCAAGATTGCAAGGGATAAATGAATAACCGAATCATGATAAATAAAGGCCTAGATCCTACCTTGAAATCGAAGAACTCACCTCGTAAGAAACATTTTTGAAACCTTCAGAGCGCCCTAGTTCTCCGCAGGTGAAAGTGTAAAACCCTAAGTCCAAATGAGTTCCAAGAACCCAGGGAGTGAGAGATTCCCGGCGATGCTACTTTTAACTGGGCTGTCAGCAGGGAAGATGTGTTGCCTTCGGCTTCGCTCAAAATACCATTCATCAATTATATATATATATATATATAATATATATATATTAAAAATAATACAAACTTACATAACATAAAACTGGAAGAGCACACCAAAATAGTGAGCACACCACACCAGACAAACGCTTCTATATTACAATGAAAGGATTTTAAGGAAACTTGCACACCAACAAAAAAAACAAGACCCCTATTTATAATAGAGGGCGGACTCCAAACTTAATACAATAGAATTAAACAAAAGATAATACATCCGTTGAATGTGACATAAAGCAGAAAATTATTTTAAAATAGTATTACACAAATCAGAATTATTGCAATCACTACTCCACCAACCGATATTATTTCAACCACTGTCATTATTACTCATAATTTCTTCTGAAATGACCTCAGTGGAGGTCCATTGCCATTAATTTGAGCCGACCGAGGTAGACCACCATTCGCTCCCAATTTTCTTGAGGGAAGGGAGGAACCACATCTCCTCCTTCGATTCGCCTTCTACCGGGTTGTGTCGTCATCCTTCTACGTCCTCTCCCTCTCGTGTCTGGGCTCACCGACAGGGTTAGGGTTATGGCTCTGCTCACCCTACCGTAGAATTTCAGTTCAAACGTCCATGGCGCCACCATCCTCGGCGCAATCACCTCCATCATCGGCATTCTTCGTTGTCTGCTTGCTTCATTCGACGATAGCGATGACGGGTGGAACACCAATGATGCTCTACCTGAACGAAATCTCTATGTTTGGTCACGTGCCGGAGACTGCAAGGAAACTGCAGGGCTTGACACACCTCGATCATCTCCAGATCTAGATCTTGAACTCCTTCAACGAGACTGTTATTGCTCTCCATAAAATTCATTCTCTTCATGGTTTCCTTCATCAATGACCGTGACTTTCAAACTTTATTCGCTAGAGGCATCAAACCTATTCGGAACTCAGCTTATTACGCCTCACTCTCCAGACGGCAAAAGCCATCCTCACGCTTCACTATTCTCATTCGTTGATTACCCACCGCGATGTGAAGTCAGCGAACGTGCTTCCATACGAACGATTTAATGCACGTCTCGATGATTTTGGTCTCGCTCTCAAAAGTTATGGATATGAGAACGAAACCGGCGGACCGCCTGCAGGGACTCTGGGTATCATCTTGTGGAATACAAGAATTCTTGGGTTGAAAACGGGCTTTTATGTTTGTATTCATATCTTCTTCACTAGACATCGCTGCTTCTGTGACATCTTCGACTGCTTCTTACGCTTCGCTAAGTCCGCCTTGGCTTCGGCTTCGACACTCATTCCTAGATCGATGGCTTCAGCTTCGACAAACCTTAGATCTCATAGGCTTCAACAATCTCAGGCTTCAGCCTCTCGGGCTTCGGCACTCTCGGGCTACAACAGTTTTGGGCTTCGACAGTTTTAGGCTTCGACATTTTTAGACTTCGACACTCTTGGGCTTTGGCATTTTCAGGCTCCGACACTCTTAGACTTCGACATTCTTAGGTTTCAGCACTCTTAGGTTTCGATATTTTTAGGCTTCAGCACTCACGGCTTGAAGATTTTTTGTCTTGACAGTGTTATCAGTTTTTTGTTAGCAAATTGATGCTTCCTGATCAGTCAGCATTAATTTGAGGGGGGATGTCGATCAGGAAGGACGGAAATCAGACAGCTAAATTAGGAGTTTTCTATAATTAGAAGCTTCCTTATTTCTAATATCTTTATTCCGATTTATTTCTCTTTTAACATAATATTTAGATTAGAAATATGTATTATTAAGTTAACTAAACTAAATTATGCACTTTATTTTTTACCTAAAATAGATTGTAAGATTGTTATTTAATGGTATGAAAACAAGGGGAAAATACAATCGAGTCTATTCAGAACTCAGCATATTTTCTCAAAATATTGACAAGAATGAGTGCTGAAAAATATAGATAGAGTGATGGACAACTGAGACATTTTATCTCATAGCATTACACCATTATCAAATTTCACATTTGTATAAATATATGAAATTTGGGCAAAATATAGGATCATATTATTTTGGGTAAAATTTAGATTTAAGTGAAACTAAAAAAAATTTAATCTATTTTGAAATAAATAAGAGTCAGTGGTGCAATTAGGTTAAACCAAGCGTGGCAATTACTCGCAAAGAAATCTAAGGTTTCGCTATAAATAATATAAATTTTAATATTTTTTTTATAATTTATGCAATTTAATAATAATTGCCCACTTTCAAGTTTTTTTCGCCCAATTCTTAGAAAATTCTAATATTTGATAATTTTGCCCACTTAAATTTAAAGTTGACTGCTCCCCTGCTTGAACTTGTACCACGTTGATTAACCGTAATCTCTAGGGGTGCGATTCGTGCACCCACCACCCTGCCCAGGAAAACTAAATAATTTAAAATAAATGAAATATACATATAATTAATATTGCATTAATTTTAAACTATATCCAAGAGCTTTGTGGCCTAATTTGGTCATTTTTTTTTAATTCAAGTCTAGTACTTACATAATTAACATTTACATTATATATTAATTTATTGTTAATTTGACATAGATTTTCCTTCTTCTGTAGCCAATTGTACAACATAGTAAGATTGATGATTTAGAGTTTATTTGTTTATTTAAGAAATGATTAGTAATATAAGTTTAGGAGAGTCAAAAACTTGTCATATGCTTCTATTTAAGACTGCACCCCTCCTCATTAATGAAACTAACATAAAGATTTTCTTATGTATAATTTAGCTGTTATCCATATTAATATAAATCAAGACAATGGACAGAAATAATCAGAAATCGCAGGTGAATAAATTTAAATTTGTAGTGTTAAACTAATAAGAATTTAGGTGGGTCTAAATGAAGAAAAAAACTTGTGTCGACATTCGTGCACAGAAGAACTTGTTGCCTAATGGTAAGTAATGGTCGCAATGACCAGTGAGGAGTAATTACTAAAGCTTTGGTACATTGTCTGTGGGGTCGACATGATGTTCAAGACAACACACCGCTTTGTAGGATGCTTCGAGATTCCTGTGTATTGGTTGTTGCTTCGCACGATGCTTCGTCGCAATGAGTAGGCGGCGACCGATGGTGGCTAACAAGTGGTGGTTGGCTACTGCAAGTGCGAGAAGAGTTCGTCGGACCGCCAGTGCAGGGTACTGAACTTCAGCTCCCTCTTCTTCGGACTCCAATCTTCGTCTTGCTCACGGTCTAATCCCCTTCCCAAGAGGGGGATATTGCTCTATTTATAGAGTCCAGATTGCAAATAAATAGAGAATTCGAACCACTCAGATCAAACATTCAAGAGGTTCTCTCGAGTGAATGGTGTTATTTGGACATTTAGGTGCATTAATGAAATTAAAATTGAGAGACATTAGTCTCGTCGGATTCTTCTTGTCGACACGCTCAAATTGACAATATGCTTGCAAGATTCGAAGTCTGTTTGACCTCTAAATATGCCTGTAATGCTTCCTAAAGTGGTTTAATGGCTTGATTTGACTTAAATTAAACCAATTTTGGAATCATTAGGTTCGTCTCGTCAAACCGGTCAATCTGTCTATTTACTAAAACCAGAGTTACAGATGATTTTTAATCAAAGTTCAAACGTTTCTTCTTAAAAAAATTACTTCAAGATATGTGTCACACTTTGAGATTCATGTCAGATGATAGAAATTTATGAGTAACATATCAATACGTATCTTAATTTAAATAAACTAATATTAATGATTGTCTTATAGGATCTAATATATAAATATCAACTTAATAAAGAAAATAAGTTTTAAAATTTTATAGATAATTAGAATAATGTTATCAACTTTATAAATAACAACAACCAAATGGGATCTTTGATAAAGATTTATAAAAAAACCAGGTATCATTACAAAGGCTGCCAAATTCAAACAATCTCTTTATCATGCAATTCAAACCACTTGCCATTATATACAGATTGCATATATGTTAAATTACCATTTTATTTGAAAAAATTGAAAGCTTCTCATAAATGATTATGAGGGCGCCCTGTCCCCTTCAGAGAATAACTAACTCGGGGAGTTAAATATGGGGAACAAAGATTAATTGCAGCTTGGTGTTAGGCTGACCTTTCAAGCGGCGCGTACATATGTGCCTTTAAACAAGATTCCTTCACTTGTACGAACTTATTTTTTCTTTAGGATATAGAAGTTTACATTAAAGCCACACAATTAATCCTTGTGTATTTTTATATCTAAAAATCGAAGTGTTATTATTAAAAAATAAGGATTTAGTCATTTTATGCATAAAATATATTAGAATTTAGTGTTAGGTATGCGGGTCATTCAATTCGATCGAGTAAAAGGATTCATATTTGGGTTCAAGCTGCCTATTATTTGTACATCGTGAATGTGTCAGCACAAATTACTAGGATTTTTGAAGTCCTAGAGACAAAAATGGATAACTAAGGACCCATTGGCGGGAGATTGAAGGACTCACTTACTTGACAAGACGCAACCACTTAAGTCGAGGCTGGAGGTTGACAAAGTGTAGGCCACTCGAACCAATGACAAAGGCTAATCGATCCGAGCAAGAGTATTGATCTGCATGTTGCCACAACTTATCTCAAGGGAAGAGGTCAATATCAACATTAGATTCCTCTTTATTAGCCAATAATTGATCAATAACACAACCCTTGAATATTCTGAAGAACACTCTCATCAAGAAATTAATAAGCTATCTATCTGATTATAATGATTGACAATCTGTCTGATAGCTTAGTCTAATTATGCCAACACGAGTTTCTCATACAATAACCAACGATCGACAATCCGATTAGAACAACCAATCAGCTAGGCGAAGTCGATCGAGCTAGTCTTGTTGAACCCAAACTGACATATTTCAATCGATCAAGTCAGAGGATAATTGAGTCATACATTCATGTATGTAAAATATCTAAAATATCATGTAACGTTCTCATTAAAGCAGGGGTAAACATGTAACTTCAACTATTGTACCCCTCTATTCTATAAATACGATAA